CCTTTCTGTCGGAATCTCTCTCTCTCTCTCTCTTGCCCCTTTAGCGGAAATTTCACAGCAATCTGGGAGGCTGGAAAAGCCAATGATGGGCTCACTTTCAACTGTGTTATGTCACTTAGGAGAAAGGAAAAAGAAAATAAAAACTGGATCGTAGCACTTAGTGAGGATCACAGTATAAAAGCGACAGGTCAGGCTGTTTGCCTTTGCTGCTGCCTCTTGCCTGTGGGAAAAGCAAAGGCAACTGCAGCTGCTGCATCTCAGATTTGAAGAAGTGATAGGGTGTGCATTTCTAAAGGACATTCTATGCTGCAGAGAAGCTGTAGTATAATGACACTTAGTGGTGAAGTGTGACATTGCCACTCAGCTCTATAAGCTATTACAGGTATTTATAGAGAAGAGTGAAGGAGATGATTCATGGATGCTGTGAATGTAGAACCTGGAGATTCCTGGGCTCAGAAAGAGAAAGTGTGCAGTGGTCAAGGGAGCTTGAGGGTCAGCATGCCTGGTTTTTAGGAGCCCCAGTTTCCTCTGTATATATATTTTAAAATGCTGCTTCCTCTGTCTAAAAGGGTCTTCAGCGTACCCCCTCCATTCTGCCTATCAAAATCAGTCTTATCACTCTAGTTAATGATATGCACACTGAAGGATGCAGGGATGTTATCATGCCTGCCACTTATTTTGAAATGCAACAACAACAAAATAAGATGGCTCGGTGGACGGGTAGAAGAGTGGATAGATGGAGTGACATGTGATAAAGCGAATAAAGAAAAAGTGAAGGTAGGATCTGGATGGTGGGTATATCGTGTATATGGTGTTGACTTTGTATGTTGGAAATTTTTTATAATGTTGGAGAAAATGTAATCTATCTTTAAAGGCTAGCTTATATTCCAGTACTTTGGGGAAGGCTTTCTAGATTTCTGGAATTATTTGTGGCTGATTACCCACATATGTTACTAGAACCTCTTTCAGTTGCTGTCTGACACGTAGAGCTGATTTCCTCTACCTTAGCCCTTGTTTTGGACAGTGAACTCCTTGTGGGCAGCAGGCTAGGCTGTCTTTATATCCCTGATACACCAGACAGGCATCATGTAAGGCACAGGGAGAGATGGTACCCACATAACTGTAGGAATAGTTTAGGAATGTCATGATTAACTTTAAAGTTAACTTAGTTGAAAGTAACTTTTGTAATGTAAGGTTTACTGGATCAAGCACCACTATATGTGTACATGTGTATTTTTTTTTGGAAGCGAGAGTTAGAGAAATGAGGGTTAACATTTCTAATAACCAGCATCCTTCATGGCTGTGAAACAGAACTGTGTTGTATGGACCAGAGCCCCACTGCCAGTTACATCCGTGATGTTTGGTGTCCCTGAGTTCCCTGTCCTTGATTGGAGAATTCTGTACCTTAGTACCATGATTCAAATCCAAGGCTTTGAATTGTATGAATCCAACCCGTTTGGAGGGCCATGCTATAGAAATACAAATAGGGCTCAGAAAGTCCTATCAGGGTTCCTAATAAGAATTCATTCAGAACCTAGTAAAATAAGTACAACCCCAGGCACCCAAAAAGATATTCCAAAATCATTTGGAATGACATACTTGTTTCCTTAAAGGGTAAGCATATTATAATTCTGGGAAGATTTAGAATTGAATGTAGATGTTTTTAATATAATCAGAGCCATAGTGTTAATACTTTTTATTTAAAGGATTTGTGCATGTGAGTACTTCAGTATGCATATTTAAAATAATTTGGCTCACATAACACGTTAGCCTGTATTTCCAATTTAAAATATGCAATAAAGTAACAGACTTAGACTTGATTTTAGGGAGGGTTGAAGTCTTAACTAGATTTCTAAGCAATATTGGGGCACTTAAGAGAATTTATTAGGTTTCTAAGAGTTGTTTAAGAGGAGGTTTTGTAAGTTAAATCAAACAATTCTAATATTTAAAAGAATTAAATAAATATAAATTAAATAAATTATAGATTATAAATAACATAGTTTAAATGTTTGAAGGAGTTTAACTAGGTTTGTAAAATGGACCAAACATTAATCCGATGGCCCTTTGAAAGTGATTATAAAAATTACAGGATCTGTAAGTTGAACTGAAAACTTAAAAAATGAGCTAGGGCATTTAAGGTTTTTCAAAAAATAACTAAACAAATGAAGTAAACATTTCTAAAGCCAGGTAAACCTGACTAATGTTTTCTGTGCACAAAACCACCCTTATCGTCATTTAAAAAATTCACAAAAAATAAAGTGATCAACAGTCTGCTTTGAGTTCACGGTAGATGCTTAGTGTTAGTGGAATTTGAATTTGTAACTTGAATCAGCAATATTCCTTATGGCAGGGCAAGAAGGAACACATAGCAGCTTCAAGTTAATTACTCTTCGTGGCTTGAAACATGGTATGAAAGAAAGAACACAGGCTTTTAAAAGAAAGGTAATCTTGCTCATGTAAAGAACCAGGGACATGAGAGTCATGACCAGCTTTCCATGAAATGATGTAGCATAGCGCTCAGCACGTAGTAGATGCTCAATGAGGTCTTCTTGTAGAAGTAGTGGTCTTTAGAAGCATTTTAATCAAATTATGAGTTGACATTGTTTATGCCACTGCATAAACCACAGGGTGCACAGTCAAATGTGGCTGTCCTAGGTACTGATCTCATTCATTCAACCAAATGCCATAAGAAATTAAAAACTGGTGATATAGGTTGTATGCCACTTGTATCAAGCTATTCTGTCTGCTTTCCTAGAAAATAAGCAAATGGGGGGCGGCAGGAGACGTTTTTCCCATCTGGACAAGGTTCAGATGAAATTGCATGTAATTCAGAGCCCTAGGTTTATTTCGTCCTGGCCACTCAGCTCTGAACAGGGTGCACAGTGAGGCCCTGAGCTGGAGGATGCTTGGCTCCGCTGCAGACATTGTCATTTAGGTCTGGCTTCTGGTAATTAGGCACTCCTAGCTGGGCTCTGCTGTCAGCCAGCCTTTGAAACAAATTGCAAAATCTGTACAACCATCTGAGAGATGGAGAAGTAGACCCGATGACACTACAGGGGATATTGGTAGTTCTCAAAAGTTGAAAGAGAATGCTTTGAGAAGCAGTCCTCAAAACTGAATTTGGAGGTCCTTTTCCTATGGTTAAAGGGTAAGTTCAGTCACAGAATCAGGATCTGAGATTCAAAAACTGGAATGACAGGCTTAATCTAATAAGATGAAGTGCGATAGAAATACACACAGCATTTTGTATTTGGATCTGAAAATCCCAACTACGCATGAAAGTAGGGGGGTAGGGATATATCTGAGAATTAGGCCATATGAAAAAGACCTAAGAGTTCAAATTGACATCAGTTGACGGTTTATTGTGATTCCCCCCAAATCTAGTGCAGTGTTAGGCTGCATTAACAGAGGTGGAGTATTTAGGACCAGGGAGGTGACTACAGTTCTGGGCTCCAGGCTATGAAAGGAAACTAGACAAAGGATGGTCACAGGATGGGTATGGGAGTGTTCCAAAGCTTATCACAGATAACAAAGGAACAGGAAAGGTTTAGCCTGGATACAAACTGCAGGAGGACCTGAAAGCTGTCAGTAATATCTGAAAGGCAGTCATGTGCATTAAGAACTAGCCTTGTTCTTATTAAGGGGAACAAAAAGAATCTGGGGATGAAAGTTACAGGAAGCCTCAAATAAGGAGGGTCTTTTAATTCTTCAGTATATTTTAAGATAGCATGGGCTACTTCCTTAATTCTAGAAGTGCTGGCTTACATAAGGACTTAGACTTTTAGGGGTAGGAAAGGATGACTCAGAAGTACTTCCCAGTCCCAAGATTCCACGATTCCCTTGCCTTCCAGTGACAACCTTATCCTGCACGGTCCTAACACGGGCAGGTGGAGAACAGAGCCATAATTACAGGAATGTTCTAGGCAGCGATGGGAGAGGTTTTAGAATTCTCAGGCAAGATTCCCATAAAGACACTCTCACCAGGGCCGCCAGTTCTTTACTCTGCTGGGGAGGTCTGGGGCTTGTGGTACTCTCTGTCACCAGAGGCTGTGTTAGTTCCTCATTTCTTCTTTCTGTGTGCCCAGCAGTGTGCTGCGTGCTGGGGAGACCTTGGGGAACAAAACAAAATCTCTTGCTGTCTTCAGCTATGCAGTATGTGTGGGGGGTAAGACAGCAAACACAAATTAGACCACTAGATAATACCGTGATGATTATAGTGGCAGTTTGGACCCACGTGTCCCGTATGAGTGCATTTATATTTCATATAGTATTAGTAATACATTTCCCCACTTGGCTTTGGGGGTGTAGTTTCCCATTATATTATAGTTCAGGTCGTCTCTTTGAGATTTCTCAGTCTCTTGGAGTAGGGACCAGAGGTATTTGTTTATACTTTAAGGCGTTTTCTTTCCCCCAGAGGTAATAAAGCTTGGAAAAGGTTGAGTCTTTTTTTTTTTTGGCGCTGACAGTTTTGTGTATAGTTTGTTACTGGCACAGTGACTACATTTAGGGGGGTGTCTGTCTTCATACTGTAGCTTCTTTTCGTTGTGTTTCCGTGGCCAGAGCAGTTCATCCTCTCGTGGCTCTTATGACTCTAACTGGAGTTAACTCTGAGTAGAAACCTGGGTGAGAAGGAATATGAAAAATAAGACTGGAACAGAACCAGGTCTGTATACTCCCACACTAATCCTTGTATTTGTTTTTTATACAAGTGACCATCCGTTTAGGGACAAGCATGCAAACACAAAGGCACATTTTTAAAAGGCACATTTCTCTCCTCAATTGCTGACTGTAGTTCATAATTAAATTCCCTTCGTCCTAATTTCTCCTAGGAAATATTGTTTGCAAACGATTGTCCTTTTTATTTTTCTAGCATTAATAAACTTACAGTTGCAACAAAAACTCCTGATTCTGAATTCAATTCTTAGTTTTTCAGAGGCTCCCCCCCTCCCCCGCCCCACCCCAAAGTAACCTACTTTATTGTAAATTCTTCTTTCTTTCAGGTAGGAATGAATTGATAGCCAGATACATCAAACTCAGGACAGGGAAGACGAGGACCAGAAAGCAGGTAAAACAACCGACCTGGAAATTGTGCATGTTAGCGAATGGCCCAAGGAGGCATTTTGGCTGCAGTGGCTGTCTGTGCTTTGGCTCCTAGGAGCCCCCGATTGGAGTTCCCTGTAAGGACGTCAGTGTTGTAGGTGTTTGAAATTGGCTCAGTTTTCACTGTTCATCATTTCAGTGACCTTTTATTATGTGGTCTCTGGAGTTCCTTCTATACACATGTGGGAAAGTTTCACCGCTAAGGACAGTGTATGAACTGTTCCTGTACTGTATTGTAAAACTTAAATTTCTTTCCGAAACTGTGCATCTGCAAACATTTCAAAAGCTGCAGGTGCAGGTATACTTTGCAAGTCATGAAATTTTGAGATTTTGCGCATTGTAAAATCCTGGAACAATTACATATTAGTCATCATTTCAATGAAAAAGTAACACCAGCAGCCATGAGTATTGGCTGGAATATAAGGCTGAATGATGTGCGTCCAGGGAACTGTTGCTCCTTAAGCTATGGCTTTTTGTCAGTAGCTGCTGTGACTGAAATGAAGTTACAATACCTTTGTGCAGAGCAGGGTCAGGAATTTTCCTCTGCCCTCTGTCAGCGTTCTGGCGCTCTTCGTTCCTTCTGATGTAAAGCAGCCCAAATCTCTGACCCAGTTCAGAACTGGAACGGATGAGAAATTAGTGTTTAACAAAAAACAGAAAAAGAAAGAAATGGAAGGGGGGAAAACCATCAAACCAACCTCATGGGTGAGTTGTTAACAGAAAAAAATATATATGTATATTTTAATGTTGACCTATGCTGACTGAAATGGCATGAATTTTAAAAACTATAATCAAACCAAAAGGCGAGCTCAACTGTGGTCTCGTTAAACCTGAGCAGCAGATTCCAGTCCTCTGCTCAGTGATGAGTTGTTTTCCTGAGTGTTTATGACGGGGAGAGCTTTCCCCAGGAACGCTCCCGTGCCCCAGCCGGGAGCCCACTGCTGAGTCAGCACAGAGGCAGGTGGCCTCCTGCCCGTGCTCAGAGGCAGGGCATTGTCTGTTCGGTGGATATTCCCCCCACTGTGGCCCTCAGCAAGTCAGAGAATCACATCAGAACAAAATTCTGGTGAAAACAAGTGAAAGCAGGAGCAGGATGGAGAGGTGAAGAGGATGGGGGAGTTCCTGCTTCTCCGTACTTTAAAAAAAAAAAAAAATGCAGAAGCAAATTGAAACTCGAAGACAAAGTTAGAGATAAGAGGTTCATTTGTTATCATAAATCCTGTTTTTAGGGTGGCTAGAGTGTTTGAAATCAAGTAATGGCCTCACAGTTGCTGAACTTCTAAATGGGAGGTTCTAAATTTCTGAAACAGACAAATCTTAATTCCCAGCATACTGAAGGTGCTGGACCTGGGCTGTCTGCTGGTCTATGAGCTCTGGTCATGTGCCCAACCCCTTCATTGGGGGGACACTTCTAAATTTAACCAAGCCCCGCTGAAAGAGATGCAAATTTGTTTACCCAGTGGAATCATTGTGTTTCAGAAGCTGGGCTTGGCTTTGTTTCCACACCCCGGCATCCCGGGGATGTTTTTAGGCGGCAGTTGGTGATACCTCTCCAATGTGAATTTGTTGTTCAGCAAATCCGTGTGGTTTTTCAACCCAGATTTTTAACAGGATGGCTGGCTGGCTGTATTCACACTTTTCGCTCTGTAATAATATGCAAATCCACTTGGCGCCCAGTCAATACCCAAAAGAGTGGAAGGATTAAAGATATTTATAAGGGGGGAAAAAAAAAGCTCTGCTAACTGGGTCTTTCCATTTCTCTTTGAGATCTAATTTACATGTCAGTATTATTTTAACATTTGCTACAGAATCCAGAGCTCTTAATGAGATCAGAATACAACCTACAGCTTCAGCTTTTTGATTCTGCGGAATGTGCTAATTTATGGATAGTCTCTTCTAAATTGAGAAAAAGGGATTTTCCCTCCTGATACTGAGAAGCTATAAATATTTTCATTTACCTCTACTCCCACCTTTTTAATTTTATAAAGAAAACAACCCCACTCTCCCCCTCTCATCCCGTGCCCATGATTTCTCCTGGGTGAGAAAACTAAGATTAGCTTCAACTTTCATCCTGACTCCAGTCACTGCAGTGATGACCCAGTCTGAAAAGCTTAGAGCAGCGCTGGGGGCTTGGTGTCTGGCTGGGACTGTGTATTCCTAACTGCAGAGCTTTGTTGAGATGCAAATAACCTTCCCCACCCCCCCTCACCCCGAAACCCTCCCAAGGAGTAGCGATTTTATATTTGATTTCCTTTTTTTGTTTTGTTTTGTTTTGTTTTGTTTCCCCTCATAAACCCGAACAATGTAGGTGTCTAGTCATATACAGGTCTTAGCAAGAAAGAAAGTTCGAGAAATTCAAGCCGCCATTAAGGTACGTCTGGCTTGCCCAGTTGTAGGGGGCTTTTCATCTCCATGGTTACAGGCTTTTCCTTTGTTTTCCTCCCTTCCCCTACCCTGCAGGTGTCTAGTCACATTCAGGTTCTTGCCAGAAGGAAATCTCGTGATTTTCATTCCAAGCTAAAGGTATGCGCTTTCCTGCTTTTTGGCTTGTGGTTGCTATGCATCTCACTTCCTGTTTTCCATGGTGACTGGTGAATGCCTGGTGCTGGGATTCTGGTAACCTAGTTTCCTCGCATGTGAGAGCTGTTTACATTTCTTTGTGTCTAATCTCTCTGTTTCTGTACTAGCCTCACATTAAGCTCAGAGAGAGAGAGAGAGAGTGTGTGTGTGTGTGTGTGTGTGTGTTTGTGTGTGTGTGTGTCCCTAATAACAATGCAAATGCAGCAGAGAGCTGGTCTTGATAACTTTTCAGCACAGAAACATGATTTTGTTTTTACCCTTCAAATAACCACCAAGCAGCCCTGAGCTAGGAGAGGGAGAAAAAGTCAAAGAGATGCAAAGTTGGTGTAGAAATTATAAATGAATCATTTCCAAGTGGCCATCATGAAATTACTCTGAAAAAAATTTAGAAATTATTTTAATTTGTGCTTTTGATGTATTTTCAGTACTTATGAAAAATACATCTTCTTCATGTAATTTTTCATGAGTTCTTCCAACAGAGAGTATTTTCTGCCAGATTTCTTCCACATTGCTTAATGTTTTTTAAGTGTGTGGCTTTGTTAATTAAAAAAGAAATTTGAGGTGAGGGCTTAAAAAAAAGATAGGTCTTAGAGATGGGAAAGCTCTTGATCAAATCCATGTTTGCAATTCCATTTATACTTGAGTTTATTTTTTTTTTTTGCACATGTGCCTCATTTTCCAGTCTTTTAAAATATATTTCATAGCAAAAACAGAGGCATGGACAACTTAAAAATGCAAGTTCTCCCTATTTTCTCTCGTTCCAAAACTTGCAGTAAAACATACATGACTTTTTTTCCTCCATAATGCCCTATTTGAGAAATGCAAAGGGATTATAGTTTGCATGGAGGAGCTTTACTTTATAATAAAAATGAATCTGTAGTCCATATTGTTGTCTTTCCCACAAGCCTGTTTTTGGTTCTGTTCTGATTTTTCCCCCCATACATTAAGTAAATTTGTGTTTTTGTTCTAAACTAAAGGACAAAGTGTGATTTCACAGCCCCAAGTGGTGAACACTGGGACCCTTCCCAAAGGCCTCCAACATTTTTTATGCAAACGACGCTGACTGTGAAATAGGTCTAGCGACCAGGAAGGCGCATTTGGGGTGCCCTCTGCAGTGGGCAGCATGCTGGCTCGCTCGCTCACACATGTGGCTGATGGTGGCTGGCTTTTAGTTGCACTGGCTGAGCAGTTGGAAGACTAAAATAACTTCGTAGCTCCTGCTTTTTAACCAAAGGTGCAGTCCTTTCTATGTGGATGTAACTACCCCAGTGTTTGCTCAAGTTCTCACTCTGTTTCTAGTTTCTCTAACGGATTAATGATGTACAAAGAAGTTTACAGACATCAATTTTGTGTTTCCATCTGTGATGTTATGAATTGTTCTATTTCTGCACTGTGTGGTTCCTGTATGCTCACCAGGGCACATGGCCTTGGACCGAAAGCTCTGTAAATGGTGGGTAAAGCTCTCCCGGTCAGAGGGGATCCCCATGGGATTCCACAAGCACTCTTTTTCTCTCTTGGTGACTTTACAAATTTTCCTCAATGGAAACAGTTTTGCCATTATCTTATACATACACATACATACCAACACACAGTCGTTTTTGTGTTTGTTCTTACAAAAAGACTTCCCCCCCACTTTTAGCCAGTCCTCTGGGGCGGGCACGAAGAAGAGGCAGAGACAGAGGCAGTGGGGTAGCAACTGGCTCAGCATTTCATCTCCAAGAACCACCTCCATCTTCTTACAGTTCCTTTCCTTCCTCCCTACCTCATTACTCTTGGAAAAATGGAGGCCTTTGTTCTTCCCATCAGCTAATACCAGTCGAGTGTTCCAGGCATGGCGCTTATCACAGTGGGCAGTTAACAACCAATCCTCTATTCACAGAGCTGGCCGTGGAAATGGGAATGTGAAATATAGGGCACTGTAGGATAAGTGTTCGCAGAAAGAGCCAAAGTTAAATGTGTAGGCAATCCCAGACACGAGCTGTATGGACAATGTGCTGCTGAGTTTGGGCATGAAAGACAGGAGTGAGTGCAGTGCAGGGCCTCTTGTGTGTTCTCTCATGTAAGCTCACTACAAAGTGAGTTCCATTCTCAGATTTTCAGGAGTAATATTCAGGAAACCAGGGATCCAAAGGTTTAATTAACTCACCAAAAGCCACCCAGCATAGGAAGTGGCGAAGTCAGGATTTGAACTTTCTGAATCCTAAACTACTGCTCTTCCAGACAGGGTTTCCTGTAGCGGAGGCTGAAGTGGATTTCAAGCAGTAGGCTTCTCATCAGTACACACTGTAGATAACGTGTCACCACCCCTCACGCTCCTTTGGACCTGGGCGTGCAGGCCTTGCTTCCCACGGTCCCTCAGCCACTACATTTTAGAAGTAAGATGATTTTTAAACTTTGAGCCATCGGTCAAGATGTGGGCCTAATTTGGGATTCACGGTCATCAGTATCTCGGGGTGATGTGTTCCTGGCTGCAGAGCTGCTGCGTCCCCACTCGGAGGGAGTTAGGACAGTTGAGGAGAATAAGGCTGGCTGCCACCTGCCTGCAGATATCCTGCTGCCTTCACCTCCCACAGGCGTTTTATGTTAAAGATGCCCTCCTTAACCTTCCTGCCAGCCATTACCAGGAAACGGGCTCAGGCCCCTTGGCGTGGTAGGAGGATAGAACTCCTCTCTCTGTCTGCACTTTCTTGTTCAGCTCTGGAGTCTAACGTTCTCGGGAGGCAGGGATGAGCATCCTCGCCGAGTTCCTTGTGGGGTCAGGCTGATAGCCTCTGGCTTCTTGGCCTCCCAACACTGGCTAATGAGATAAACTCACTACAGAAGTTGAAGTCATCTCAGTAGACAGCAAGGATAGCTTCTGAGCAGGGGTAGGGGTGGCAGGAAGTATCCAGACTCACAACAGGTGCCGTGCTTTGTCTGAGACGATGCAGCAAGACTTCCTGGAGGAGATAGCCGTTGACTGGCCATCTCCGGACCTGTCCTTGCCGTGCCTTGCCAGCCGGGCTTCTCGCCATTTCTCCGCATGCTCTGAAGTCAAAGGATTTCTGTTCTCTGGGGTGGACAGAGGCCTGTGGCCCTCCTGTGAAGACTGAAGCCAAGTTTCATTTCCCTGTTCTCCCTCGGGGTTTGAAAAAGTGGTTTGCTCACACCTGGGGCCGGGGCCAGGGCCAGGGCCAGGTGTGGCTTCCGAAGGCACCCTCTTGCCTGTGAGCCTCTCTTCACTTTCCCAGGAAGGGTGCAGGAGAATTCTTGAGGCTAGTGGTTTTCCAGCCTTTTTTAAGCAGCAAAACTCACATTTCAGATTGAAATCTTACTCGAAATTTTCCATATATAAACGAGTAAAAGCTGTTTTATTTAAAGCTCACACCCTCTCATCCTTAGCAGTGGCCTCTTTGGCTGGTTCTGTTGAATAAGTTTTGAAAACCCACACTGCTTTAGGCAGAAGGAAAAGGAAATGCCCGCCTCTCAGCCGTGCATCCGGCCTTTATGGGACAGCTTGGGGGTCCCACTTAGAGCCCACATTTTCTAAATTCCGTAGCCTGTTCTGCCATAGCCTTCTGAAGAAAACAGGCTCGAGGGAGTGGTTATTCTCCTGTCACGGTTGTGGATGAGTCATCCTAGCTACAGAAGTCACGCTCTTGAAAATCTCTTAGGATGAGTTTCAAAGGTCAGCTTTATGCTTCTGCTAAATGCATTGGTTCTCAAAGTGCTTGTTTGTGAGCCAGATCACCCCAAAATGTGTGGATTTTAATTTTCGTTTAAAACAAAATTGTTTTAGTAAAAGTTTTAAGATTTCCGTGTAGATTTGAACTTTAAAAGCGCAGAAATGATTACTTAATTCAGTCCAGTAATGGTTCCATTGAGAAGCCATGTGTTCTAGACCCTTTAGTAGATGTTGGGCGTGGAAAGTTGAATACACAAGAGTCTCTGTTTTGGGGGAACACTCATTCTTTCTGTTATTTTTGGCCACGTTTGGGGAAAATACAAGATTCCCAGTGGATTGTCCCCAGCTAGGGGGCTCTGCAGTAGAAATTTAACAGAGCAGTGCAAAGACCACGCAGTGAAAAGGATGATTAATTCTGAGTGTGGGGGAATTAAAGAAAGCCCCGTGGAGGGGGTTCCATTAGAACTAAGCATAGAGGAAGGTAGAGAATTTCCACAGATAATGGGGGTGGGGGGGTTGGGGGAACCATGAAGAACACCCATCTAGCTGGAGGCATGGAATGAGGAATGAGACTGGAGGGGTGAGGTTCCCCTGAGGAGCATGGGAACACGCAGGGGTCGTTCACAGTTATGCTTTGGAAAGATCCCTCCAACCATTTTTAGAGGATAGCGCGGAGCGAGGCAAAGCTGGAGGCAGGGAGGCTAATTCAGGGGCTGCTCTAAGAAGCCAAGGGAGCAAGATGTGGGCCTGGACCAGGGGCCGACCAAGCACCCCTGGGGCCCTGCTCCGTGGCTCTTATCCATCCGTATTGTCACCCTCGGCTGGTCCCCACTCCACTCCAATCTGATTGCTGCATGCTCTTTCTTGCTCATTGTTTTTAAAGAGTGAATTATGTTAAAAAGTTCTATTCTTAATAAGTCTGAAAACTGTACACTGAAACTTTTCAAAGGCAGCATTTAAAACTTAGGTTAGTGCTTCCCTGGTGGCGCAGTAGTTGAGAGTCCGCCTGCCGATGCGGGGGACGCGGGTTCGTGCCCCGGTCTGGGAAGATCCCACATGCTGCGGAGCGCTGGGCCCGTTAGCCATGGCCGCTGAGCCTGCACGTCTGGAGCCTGTGCTCAGCAACGGGAGAGGCCACAACAGTGAGAGGCCCACGTACCACAAAATAAATAAATAGATAGATAGATAATAAAAAATTAAAAACATTAAAAAAAAACTTAAATTATTAAAGCCCGGGTTCTCTTAAAGTAATGGCCATTAACTGAGAGTGTACATCAAA